GGCGCGCCCCGAGCGGCGCGGGGCGCACTCCGCGGGGAGTGCCGGCGCCCAGGGCTGGAGTCCCGCAGGTAGGTAGGCGCCGGACGGCCCCTGGTCTCCCAGGAGGCGCTGAGCCGACCTAGGAGGTGGAGGCGGATGACCGGCGAGGGGACGCAGCAGGTGGGGTTGGCCGAGCAGGTGCGGTTACCTGTCCGCACCTCACCTGCGAGCCGGGCCTGCGGGCAGGTGGCTCGGCCCGAGAGGTGGGCGCGGCTTCGCGGCGTCCTTTCTCGGGCGGAGCGGGAGCGATCCCCCCCGAGGGGACCTCTCCTGGGTGCTGGGGTCATTCGGGGCAACAGCCGTGGGTGGCCGCGACGACGCGGGCCCGGCTGGATCCCGCACTTGCAGAGCTGCCGCGAGAGCGTGAGCACTCGGGCGATGCGCGAGCAGGGTTCTGCGCTTCCCTGCGGGGGTCTCGGAGCTCCCCGCCGGGGGTCTCGCGCTTCATAGGTGAGCAGACCGCTCTGGAGGACGTGTACGTTAAGTCCTCGTCGTTTGCCCCCTACCCTAGCGCTGTGTGTTGACAAACATTTTTCTGCTGCTTGGATACTTGTTCGCCTGCAATTTGATGGTGATGTTGCTTGCTTGCAGGAGGAAGGGCAACCCATACCCATTTAGAGAAAGAAGCTCAGAGTTTCCTTCTCCTCGTGGAGCAGGTGCTAGGAGGTCAGGCGTGAGGAGGCTCGGTGCTGGCTCATTACTCTGTGTCCTCAACTGACCCCCCAAAGTCCATAGGTTGCCTTGAGTCAGATAACATTTATAGAAGACTTCTTTGTGGTCAGAAAGATTCGCTCACAGCACCCCTTCTGCCTCCCTCCCCCAAGAAAAGGACAAACCTAAATTTAAAAGCAAAAATCAACACGTGAACTTCCTTGAATAAATTCGCCTTCCCTAGGGACTTTTAAAAGCTACCTGAAATGTCACTATCAAAAACTTACAATGTGAATGGCCACCAGCTTAACGTAGGCAATTTGTTTACTGCTTTCTAAGAGGAAATTAAATAGTCCATTTTATTTTATCACTGTGCTGTCACCTTTTGTAACACACGAAAGTCCAGCTGCAGTGTTATTTAATAATTCCAGGGTCCTCCATATGTTCAAGTTGCACTTCCTGAGAACCCAAATTGTTCTTTGAGTTATGGGTGCCTAAGTGACGTTCTTCTGCCTCTGGCTTTTCTAGTGGAACTCCATTTTATATGGGGGAGATTATAAATCGTCAGCTAATCCTTCAAGTAACTGGGACGGTGTGATTTAAGAATATAAGCCCTAACATGTCAGCTGTTACTCTCAACTCAGGTAGTGAAAGGGGGTCAAGTTGTCCTGGAACCTACAATTGAGTCATGATACTTTTCTGGTACTTACTGTCCCCCATCTTTTGAAATTATAGCAACAAACAAATACGACTCTACAAGTTGAAACTAAATTTACTGTTCTTTGACACTTGTTCTGTTTGTCTTCATTTGGAAAGCTGTTGCAGCATGCCCATCCTAACATGACTATATTCACACTTGGAATGCCATTATTTAAATAGTTGTTTAAATGTACATTTTAAAAACAAGTTGCCATTACTGTTTCATTCTTCATAATCCTCAAAATGAAAGTACTGACACTCATTAAAATGAAACAAGCCCTGATAAGTATAATTTGAAAAGGATACCTGGTCCTCCACTTCTTTTTAATTCACTTTATTTTTTAGAGCAGTTTTAAGTTCACAGCAAAACAGAGAGTAAAGGGCAAAGATTTCCCATCTACTCCTTGTCCCCACCTCATGCCCATCCTGCCCGTTATCAGCACCTCCCCCAGCCTGATACATTATTGCTTGCAATCGCCAAGTCTACATTAATAATCCTCACCCAAAGTCCACAGTTTACTTTAATGCTCTGTCTTGGGGTTGTACATTTTCTGTGGGTTTGGCTAGCCATATAACATGTATCCAGAATTTATTAGAATGTGATCCTATATCTTAGTATCTAAGCCCTAAAAATCTTCTCCAACAACTCAACACTTTCTCCCCACTGACTCCTCCCAAACATTGATTCATAGGTTGTCTTCATAATTTTGCCTCATCCAGAAGGTCATCTAGTTAGAATCATAGTGTGTAGCTTTTTTGGATTGACTTACTGCATTTAGCTTTTGCATTTAAGTTTCTTGATTATGTCTTTAACTGATTTAATGGTTCATTTTTTTGTTCAATCCCCAAATAATATTCTGTTATCCCTCTGAGCTTTTTTAGACTGTATGGGTATTTCCCTGCTATGACCTGAAATTTAATTTGTTTTCTGAAGCTCTGAATATTTTCGTATTTCAAATATGATTGCTATAGTCATAGGGTTTATTTGACTTAATTTGCTAATATTGCATAGTAGCTGAGAATTTTTATGATCCTTTTTGATTTCTGTTACCACCCACAAAAAACAGGCTGTTTACTCTACTCCCCATTTTCATTTAGTAGCTGAATTTCAAATTTCGTTTTCAGCAATCACTGGAATTATCAGAAACAAATGGTGCCAAAGCTGAAGTTCACCCCAGGCCTGGTGGGTGGGTTCTGTCATATCGCATGTAGGAAACCCATTCCACACTGTGGCCTGACTCCAGGGTATTAGGTGGTACAGCAAACAGTTCAGACCTGTGGGCACCCAGAGGGGTTTGGGAGGCCCAATAATAGGGTAGTATTTATGTACTCCTGGGTAAAATGCATTCTCATTTGTAATCATATTTGTTTTTGTATTGCTGCCTTTTCATTTATTCCTATTGCCTATTTTCATTTTATTTCCCATCTGTATTTTTAAACTTCCTTCATAGTTTTATGCTGGTGTTTAAAATAATGTCGTCAGTAGAAATAACTTATTTTTCCTTTTCTAGATCAGTAGGGTTGATCTTAAATAAAATTAGGCTTAACTGCAATGACTGAATCTCACTAAGTTCTTCTCACTGCTGTTCATTTAGAAATCGAACAAAGGATAATAATAAACTCCCTGTTCTATGACTTCTTTCATTAGGATTCTACTCAATTGCAACATAATTTAAATTCATTTCTTCAGTGCTGTCGTGAACCCTGGTAAAAAGAATGAATAAAAATGAATTGTCAGGGCTTTAACCTTGCCCTTTTCCTTTTGCCTCTTTGACCTTTGTGCTCTTTGATATGTGTCACATGATTCTGTTCGTCTCTTTGCAGACTGTGTATCTTTGAACTTCATCTCCTGCTTCTTCAGTTTGAATCCTTTGTAGTTCTCCTTGTCTGTCTTATCTTGTGGCCATTTCCAGGGCTTCCTTCCACAATGCCTACTCCTCAGCCCAAGCCTCTTTCAAAGAAGCCACCAGCTGCTGATCTTCTCTTCTTTTTCTAGTTCCCTGGCAGGTGACTGAGCTCTCCCTCTGCCCTATTCTGGTGGGAACTAGCTTTAAGCATTTCTCTTCTGATTGTTTCTCAGGTATGCAGATTTGAGAACATATTCAAACCTTATTTCTTGTCAAACTCCTTTTCAGAATTTTCACTCTTCTGCTCCTTCAAATTTATTGCAAATTATAGGTAGGGTTTCTTCATGCTGCTACCTAAGACCATGAACTTTGTAGGGTGATGGGTTTGAATCTTACACCATTGCTTTGGATGAATTAAGATGACCTGCCAGAAACTGCAAAGAGAAATGGCTTATGCAAAGTGATGTTTGCTTTCCTTCACATTAAAAAAAAAAGTTTATAAAGAGACAATTCAGAGAAGGTAGACTTCACCGTCTTTAGATATCTGGTTGTCGCTGTCTTTTAGATTCATACAGCAGAAGAGGTCCTCAATTTCATAGTTCTAGATGGAGCTGTGTAAATCTAAGTTCCAGGTAGTGGAAAGGGCCAAGGAAGGAAGGGGAAAAGACAAGGAGGAAAGGCAAGAGTTTGTGGTTTCTTAAGGAAATTTCCTGGCGGGCTGGCAGACACTTATTAAATCCCACTGGCCAGAGAGTAATGTGCTACTTACAGAGGAAGGTTAGTAATGTGAACTCACCTAAATGGAATAGAGATGTGAGTATATTGTCCTTATTCCATGCAATCATATTCCAAGCTAAAATGTGGGAATTTCACATCCTCAGCAGGAGAGGAGGGAATGAAATCTGAGCTAGACACAGGCAGTGATTTGGCACAGTATTGTTCTTAATTGATAGCACTGATCTCACAGGTTAAAAAAAAAAACAATAGGGAGAAAACTTAGGGGGTAGAGGGATGAGAACATAACAGATTATGGTTGAGGACTATGGGTGATTTGGTTTGATGACTACACACAGGGGGAGAAAAATCTATACTGTGAAAAAATTAACAGGGATATAAAACAATGCTCATTATCAACAAAAAAAATTTTTTTAAGATTTATTTATTTATTCATTCAGAAATAGGGCATAAGGGTACAGGCCAGAGGTCCAGGAACAGCGAGAGGAGACAGAGTGGGGAGCAGAACAGGCAGATAAATGAAATGAACTACTGAGGGGAGCAGCTGGCAGGTCACTAGAGGTCTGGCTGCGCCATGTGGTCACCTCCAGGGTGGGTGGGAATCAAACTCATGCTGAAGTGGCTTTAGCTTCTTAGTGCTGTGCTTTAACCTGCTGTGCCACCAGGGAGGGGCCATCAACAAAATTTTTTTTAATTAAAATTTAAAAACATACATTAAAGCGACTACCACAATATCTGGCATGAACTAGCTTTCAGTAAATATTAGTCCCTATTCCTCTGTCGTGAATTACTAGTTTCTCTGTTCTCACATCGTGGGACTCCAAGTCCCATTTTAAATACTTGGACTTTGGCCTCAGTTGGTGCCAGGCCATGGGAGAGGAAGCATCTAATTCTTTAAGACAAAGTGTTTATATA